TGTGTCCGAGACCTGTCTTTGGCCATAGGCTTTGGTGCTGTCGTGTCTTGCATGGTCGGGTGTCCAAATTCCTGGCTGTGCTTGACGTGCGTAGAGTAGAGAATGGGGCAAGCAAGAGGAAAAATCCGTGGGCGCTTGCTTCATAGCTTTGCCCAGTGGCCGAGGATATCTTGCATCCAGCGCGGCTCCCAATAAGGGGGCCTCTGAAGGGTATGAGTTTAGGGGTCCTGTGAAACTTAGTAAAATGAAGGATATCTCAAGCATCTTCACAGGGATGCGGGAGAACACGTCTCTTGAAACAGCTAGAATCCCACGCCTTTCAAGGCGCTGGCGCAGCTCGAGCTGGATCTGGCCCAGCATCCTTAGAAGAGAGTTCTGAGGCCTCAGTACTCTACTGTTCATGGAGAAGTTTCACTTACATAGTCCACGTTAGCGACGTAGAGAAGAATGTGGATGCGACTCCTAGCCGGAACACAGCTAACTGTCGAACTAGCCACCTGCCCGTTTGCATGACCAGCCTTCTCTCTGTATTTGCGAATTTAACCTCAGAAGGTGGTTTTGCTGTGAGTGTGCCTTCGGGTTCTGCGTTTGGTTGCCCGGGAATTTTGCGTAGACATCATTTTCACGCGCTATGCAATCAAAGCACCAAAACATGTTGGCATTCCAATTGCGTCGCTGACCGAAGGTTGCCCTGAACAAAGACACTACCAGAATCAATAATGTCATCAACGGGTTCATGAATCATCGTTTCCTGTTCCAATTGTTATTCTGGGGCCTCATGGCGTGTGAAGCCATTTTGGTGTCAAAATAGCAAACCCGGTTTCGTGGCCGTCCCAAGCTACCAACACAATGACTCGAGCCCACGCCATGGCACCACTTTAAAGGGGTGCTTCCTGGTGGCAGCCCTTAGCGAGTAGTGAGTACCCAGTGTCCATCTTTTTTTCTGTTCGCTACTATGTACCATTGTCTTCTTCAGATGTAGATGCATCAGGCAAATAGACTCTTGCTCCCAGAATGCCCCAGGCGCTACGCTTTCGAAAGTAAATCCTCAATAAAGACAACCCAGACCTCTGAGACACAGAGTCGGTAATTAATAGTAACTAGTCCCTGTCTCAGGTCAGAGCTACAGCTACACAATACCTCCATCCTCACCCCCAAGGCTTCTTCAGCACAGGTTGTCGGTTTCCCGAGCAAAAAAGCAGGCCCACACTATTTGTTCAACAAAAACAGCCAAAAGGCCGCAACGCCTATACCTGCAAACACTGGAAACCCAAACACTCTACACCCTGAAACCCAATCCTCCAGGCCTTTCCGCTGAAGCCCTAGAACCTGAAAGGAACACCGAGCTTCTTGTGACTCGACGCTGACTCCACAGCAGCCGCTCCCCAGGCCGCTTCCAGAAGTTCCGCTGTGCCATAGCTCTGCCTACAGGTTCACGGGACGAGAGGGGTTCGGGCTTCACAGCTATCATAGGACTAGAAGTGGCGGGGTTTAGGGCTTCTAGGGTTTGGAGATATACTCCGACGCAGACAAAAATGATACGATGGTTTACTCCAAATTTGTGCTTGGGGTTTAGAATTCGGGGGTTTGTTTGGCATCGGAGCTTCATCTTTAGGAGGCGGGTGGTTTAGCTTGGGGGCTTTCTGGAGTTTTGAGGTTGGGGATTGGGTCTTTTGGGTTCCAGGGTGAAAGCTCTAGGAGTTTGGGGTTCCAGGGAGTTAGGGTTGTTGGTTCGTGGTCTGTAGGGCTTAGCATCTTCAAGGCTTGGGGGTTCAGGTGTTGTTCAGCAAGATGTGGGGCTTCTAGGCGTGGTGCCAGTGACCATGGTCAAGGATTTCTAGATACCGTTTAGCGTTGTGTGGACGCAGGTATTGGCCCCAAAGCGGGAAGTGATCTCCGGATCATCAAGAAGGAGGCCTACCTTACGGCAACCTAGTTATATTATGAAGCGCGCTGCCCTTTAAAACGTGGGCTTCCGCATTGACATTGGGGAGGGCGATCCTCCAAGAGAGAGTGCTTGGAGCTCGGAAGCGATAATGGAGATGGACTCTCACTAAAAAGGGATATGGAAGGGGAGAGGGTGTCCGTCACTGTTGCCCCTGCTTTTGGCGCCTGACAAGATGGCACATCAAAATGATACTTTCTTACGCTGCTCTTTCCTCCTCACTCGTGTTGCTGCAACGCGGATACTCATGTTTTAGCTTTCCCGTGTTCTACCGTTGTCCACTCCATAGAACCCTACTAAAGATCCAGAAAGTCTATCGAGTGGCCATATGGCCATATCACTATCCCATTCTAGAGGCTCTATGCAGTTAATCGGAATCCCAGCCACAGCTGAGGCAGCATGAGGTCCAGAAGCTCCTCTTGAAAGCGCTCGCTGTAGGCCCCTAGCCTTCCCGATTCGATTCAGAAGGGGGATGTGCCAAACTTTTGGTTCGTGTGTTGGGGTCCGAATGTTGAGAACTCTACTTTTGAGGAGATGTGCTCAGTTGCCTCACATACTGTAAAGGCGGTGGACACTCACAGCAACAAGAAGAGGGACATACTGCAATCTTTGGAGGTAGCCATTGTGCTCCCAAGAGTGCTGCTGAGACATGTTGTCTTCATATTCTTTCCCAGGATACACACACCAGTGAAAGTACTGCTAGCCAAAATCTTCCATCAAAGAATGGTCTAAGGTCATGGCACCGACCCTCTGGTGTGGAACCCCAATACTCTTGGAGCCTGAATAATGGATAGCTGACCTTCATTCCGTCCTCATGCTGCGGCTCTGTCATCATGCTCCGAATTTTGAGAGACCACTTATCCGAAATTCCTCACCAAACGAGTCAATCTAAACATTACATTCCAGGAGCAGCGCAAGCGAGCGCCAGAGGCGCCATGGAGGAAGTGCTGCATGGTCGTCAGTGAAGCCCCTCGCTGCCTCCGACGCAGCCTCATGGATAACCTGAAGAAAGTGCTGGTGGGTAAGGCGGACAAGGGATGAGTGTTTTGGGGAATGAAATCTGCAATGATTATTTACTGTCCTTGCATCCCTAGGTCACCCTCTAACATATGTCAAACCTGTTTGATCAATGCATCTGCCCTGAGGAGGTCCTGCAGTTTGCACTTTGCGGGCCTAGTATCCATTTTGCGATGCCTGGCATGCTCCACATATCCAACCCGTTTTGGGTTGGGAGCTGGCTTTCAAGAGCCCATCCCTTAAGACTTGAAAGATCTTCCTGAGCTGTTGGGGTAGGGGCGGAGACTGGAGCAAGGCTTGGGTTTCAGGAGCTGCTTGCCCCGGTTGGTCTTGAGCACTGCAATCATGATTGGCTGATATTAAGCCCATCCATTCCGAAAGGGGTCGTCCTATAGGGGCCGTGGTGGATGGAGTAGATCATGCACGAGCCACGACCCGCACGACAGCTAGATGCTGTACATCCTAGCATGTAGGGTACATGGGCTGGGCCGTTGAGTTGTGATCCCCAAAATGGACACCTCACATACAGATTTATCCTAAGGAACTTCGCATATACTGGTTGAATACACTCACACTACATAACCAAACAGCCAGCCGCTGCAGTAGGCCATGAAAGATGATCTCAGAAGGACACCACACTCATGGCTTGCCTCTGGGTCATCCACAGCAATCCTGGTCAATGCTACCAGGAAGGAGGAGACCGGCAGCAAAATGCCAGAATCCTGGATGGTTCGAGGATACCGTTTTGGCAGGGATATCTGTTGGGCTTGGGGTTAGGGTTCAAGTGAAGGTCCGCAAGCTTTCCCAGGAAGATTCAGTGGCTGCTGTTTTCGGCGCAGTGGTGGGGAACATTGCGGGCAAAACAAAAAAACAAGGACGTTACTATATGACCCTACAGAACCCACCCCAAGCAGATTTGGTACTTTTCCATACGCATGGTCCCCCCAATATAGATTCCAAAATACCATAATCCTTATTACGGTGACCCCCAATTTGTGCTCCTAATTTTGGGAATTGAAAAAAGCTTCTACACCACTGCATAATCTGTGTTTCCATGTCCTGCTCAATTGTCTTCATGTGATTCTCCATTGTTGGAGAGAAAATAGTACCCCCCAATTTTCGGAACCCCCAATCCTACAAACTACTACACAATCCCAGTGCCCATTTCATTGTCCATCTTCTTTCCATTTCATTCTCCATTATTGGGAGGGAATGTTGGCACCTCGAGCCTCTGACTTTGGAAGCCATAAATCCTAAAACTCATGTAACACCTACGGTATTTATCCCCTGTAATCCCTAATTTTGGGATAGCCCGCCATTTAAGGGTCCCACTTGTACATACCCCGTTTCCATGTCATCTCCATGTTCTTTTCCATTTGACTTTCCATTATTGGTGGTAAGAATATCCCTAAAATCTAAACCCCAAACTAAACCCTAACCCCTAAACTCCAAACCCTAATCCCTTAACCCTATATAAACCCTATGGAACCCATGTGCCCCTTTGTTCTCATAGAACCAGTCCTCAGCCATCCATAGCAGCTCCACGCCTCGCTCTTGCTGCACCTGGGTTGCTGGTAAGGAACTTGAATTAAGTTACCATAAGGGATATATATATATATATATAGACATACACATATCTATACATATATGTTGGGCCTTTAGAATTTAGGGTTTAGGGTTTAAGCTACCATAACGAGTATACAACGTAAGTAATGTGTTTTCCCCAATATAATAACTTAAATTGGGCTCCTTAATAGCAACCCAGGCACAGCGTGCTCGCATGCTCCGATCGCAGTGCTGATGCTGACGTCTGTGAGTGGCCTGGGACGTCTTTGCAGGGTACTTCAAAAATGATGTGGATGTGCTGCTATGCACATGTGTTCATATATTGGAAATTGTCCATAAGTATTATATATATATTTATATGGTTTTCTATCTGTGGGGGATGCAGCAGGCTCCGTGCGTGCTCTACTTCAAAGCGTGCCGCAACTCTCCTGTAAAGCAGCATAAACATGATTTCCAAGGAGGACCCAGCGGCACTCGTTGCCACTCCATCTGCCCTAAGGTGTACACTGCACTCTGCCACCGCCCTCCCTTGTCCCAGGCTGCGACGAGCGCATTGCAAGCGATGGAGTTGCTTTCAATCTTCATCTCCGCCATATGCTGGAAGTTCTCCAAGCTCTGCTCCCACAAGCTTGTTTGGGAAAGACTGCTCATGGCCGCGCTAGCACCGATCACATCCAGTTGAAGCCGTTGATCCTTCATATCCTTGAGAAGGATAAGTGCCGAAGCTCCATTCCCCGATGCTTCACATGCACTGAGTGCCTTTGTTAACGGCTGTGCTGCAACTACCACTTTCCCTCTGGGGGGTGCATGATATTGGTGCCCCTGTCCTTCCCTAAGGAAACCTGCGCACAGGGCATAGTGGCACTAGACAGCCTTCACAACCTTCATTGAAGAGGTAAGCTAACAGGAGGGTCGGCAGCCAGGTTTTGTGCAGAAAGGTCAACTCTGTTGGGCCTGCCCGTGGTAAGTAAGAGAGCAAGAACGCCGTCAGATGAGGACTGTATATAGGGAGGCAACAGCTCGCATGCCACCCCACCAGGCATCTCCAGCTACCGGGTTTCCTCTTGCCGCCCTCTTGTTGGGAGGTGCCGATGTTTTCTTCCACGGGGGAGGTTGGTGAGGTTTGGGGATTTTGCGGCACGACCCTGGGCGCTGCGCTAGGTGAGTCCCAGCTCAGCCCCGTGGAACCGCGAGCCCAACAGAAGTCCTTCTCCGGAGAGGATGAGGGAAGGCTAGTACCCCCTGGTCCCCTGCCATCCTCGCCAGGGGAGGCCCAGGCTAAAGTCCAGGACCTCATTAGTACATGTCTGACCTCGTTTCGGCCCCGACTCTGTTCGCTCCAGCAGATGATATATGGTGCTTGAGGATTTTTCGTTGATGGCGGTCTCGAGCCTGCATGAATGAAATATGGGGAAACGCGATGCCGATGTGCAGCTCAGGATCAGCGTTGAAGCAAGCTACATCTGCACCTGATGTCTAAAAGGCAGCGCAGGAGAATCTAAAGGCAGTGTGCGAAACTGGCCTGGAGATAGCATCTGCAGATAAGACTGAGGTAATTTAAACTTTGCTTTCTGCAGCTGAGGTGGTCGCCTTCCCTGCTCTGAAAACTCTGACCAAGTACTTATCGTCTTACCTGCTCGTACCTCTTCAACAGCCCCACCTCTATAAGGGCCTCAAACATGACTTCGTACGGCTACGGGCATATGTTCTCAGTGACTTACTGGTGGTTACTATAATATCCCAGATAATATATTCCGTCAGTCCCTTCCCTACACCCTGAACCCTCGACCCCAAACCCTAAGACGCCCCCAGTAAAATGGCGCCCCAGCCTGTTGAATCCTGCTGCATGTCATGGAGGAGCTGAAGAGCCCGCACCCAGGATGATGCGGCCAAAGCCTTGAGGGCTGTTAGGGGTTTAGGAGTTTACGGGTTTTGGGATTAGTTTGAGATTGTGGTGCAAACGTGTACTTATGGAACGAGCTATCAAAGCACTAAATTCCCTGCCAGATGGGCCCTGAAACCAAGCCCTAAATCCCATTCATAGTAAGCAATGGCTACATAACCCTGGACCACATCCCCATACCCTGATACAAGGAGACGCAAGAGAAAGCATTGTGGGGTAGGGGTTTAGGGCTCAGGGTTTAGCGCTTTGGTTACAAAGGAGTTCCAGCTGAGTCGCTGACATGCCTGCGCAGAAGGCCACCTGATTGAGTCGGCGCCTCCTAGCTTCCTCAGCTCTTGGCTTGATGTATGTATGAGTGTATACGGGAATGTGTACACACATACATGTATGCATATGTGCATATACATATAGTGTATATATAGATATATAGATATACATATATATAGAGAGAGAGGGAGTTACGTTGGTAGGTGTGTGCAAATGTGCGCGTATATACACATGTCCATCCACATGTTGATTTAGTCCGTCCATCCAATCACATGCATATAGGTAATTGGGGCGGCGTATGGATATGTGGGGCAGAAATCGGGATTGCCCCGGGGTTAGACTGTAAACCGATTCTGCGAAGACTCACCGCAACTGACTCATATCTTCTGGAAGGGGCTTCGGCCTCTACATACAAACGCTTGGACAGTTGTGATCTGTTCTCTAAGCCCAGTTCTTCCGGCCCAGAATTCGCGGACACACCTCATTTGAATATATGTGTCCATGTATAGACAGTCCGATGCAGGCCCCACAGGCATAGGTCCTTGGAGGTCCCGTATTGCCCTGAGCATCTTTCTCAGCCCTCCTCCTAAGCTCCTATACGCGTGTCGGATTGGATGGGACTAAAGCAAGCTGAGATCCCCGCGTCTACAAGGATCAACGCGGCTTGCCAAGCAATGGTCTTGCCACATGCCGTGAGGAGCGCGCTGAACATTCGGCTGCCATCTTGCGACGGGATGTGACGGTCTTGCTGCGCGAGGCAGCAAAGAGCAAACTCCTTGGAAAAGCAGCAAAATCTGGGGTCCCAAGACTGCAAATGAACAGGCAAATGAACAGCAACCCCACAACATGTGGTACCCAAGATGTGCACAATCACGGGTCCGAATGCATAGGACGATCGGAAGTGGCAAAGCTTTTTGAGCGAAGTTTCCCACATTCGCGCCGAAGCAGGTGCAGTGACAGAGAGGCTTCGAAGGTAGCTGTCGGGTTTCAGTCCACCAAGAGTTGCAAATTGGAATTGGCTAAGCGCCAAATGCCACTGCTGCTGCATCTGTAGCTCCATCATCAAGGCACCCTTGCTGAATACGCTTTGGCGTTCTTGAGTCTTGGTCACTAACTCCAGACAACGTGTCCAAGCACCGCGGAGCTCTGAAACAATGCTGACCAGACTGAGGCTAAGCCAAGCTTGCCAAACTTGAAAGGCTGCGAGAGCAACTTCCCACTGTTGGCCCAGAGCTGCTGTCGCTGCGTTGCAGCACACCTCGTTTGTCAGCACTCCCTGCAAAGACATCGCCCCTAGGATCTTACTGGCCTGCTGCCACGGGAGGGCTTCGTCTGCCGAGAGCGTGGACGAAAAACACACCACATCAGGCTTCAGCCCCCGAAGGCGCATCTGGCTGAGCAATCCGGTGGATCTACGCCAAGACAGTAATGACATGGAGGCTGTGTACGAGAACACATCCAGAAGCAAAACTGATGTATACATGCCACTCATCAGTTGGCATACCCTTCGCCACGAAGATCGGCCAGCATTGAGGACAACGTTGCAACATACGGTGTCCTCGGGGCATCTCATTAACTACTGGGACCACTTGCAGACTTCTGGATGCTTGGTGCATACTGCAAAGGGAAACACGCACTTATGTTCACAGAGACCTCTGGCCTCTACCTGACTATAATGATTGACACACACGTCTTCTTGGGTAATCTCAGGATCCTATGTACCTTTTCTGGGATGGTTGCCTGTACATCTGACATGCTTGAGTGGTATTCTGTATGGGACGTTAGGTTGCAAGCCTCCAGGTGGAGATGTTCTAGGCCCCGAAGTCGCCCAACAAATTCTGGCGCAGTTCCTGGTGTTTTCCCAAGGACCCACGGTTGTATCAACGGCGATTGTGACGTGCAGAGCTTGGTGCAAGCTCGAAGACAATTGAATCGCAACTCTCAGATGCGTGCTATTTCTTGGAATATGGATATCCGCAGAGTAGCCGTGGTGATCACAGGAGCTTCCGGGCAACTTGGGCACCTCCAACGTATTGATTTCTTGAGACGCTATCAGTTCTCTCTTAAGCTGAAGCAAGTTACGACCACCACTCTACGCGCGAGATTGACTGACACCCTCGCGTCCTGATTACCATGTTGCCTGCCAAGCGGCTGGTATGATGCCTGTGCTGAACATGTCGGAGAATAGCCGGAGGGCAGATGTCCACGAAGACGCGCTATCCAGAGAGGAAATGCCTAGCAGTTCTTAGCAGTTCTTTGGTCTCCTGGTATTCTGTGTGACTCTTCAGGCTAAGACAAAACTCGTCACAAGACATCTAAGATGCATGTACTGTAGATGACGTTGTTGGCTTCCAGCTTCCGTGATGCCAGCCTCATGGCACTGAGATGTTCCAAACCATTTTGCTGCTTGATCTCCATCACAGATATACTTCTACCTATTGGGTGTATTCTATCCGTGGCCGTCAACAAGCAAATGGACAAGGACAAGAATGCTCAAATGGCAGGCAGGATACTCGCACAGCAATTGGAGTAGGGATTTCCAGTGTGCAGCCACAGCGCACGCCCTCATAACCATCCCATAACTGATTTCATCCATCACGCAGGCCACTTCAAGATGGTGGAGCACCAGAAGGGCTGACTCCCAAAGCCCTTTTTTCCGACAAGCGCCCAAGATGGAGTGGATGTGCATCATATTTGGGCTTATCCTTTGGAAGGAGGCCTGCTGCAAAGAATGGATGATACCCTGCACGCCCTGCTGCCCAACAGATCCGCACCAGGACATTTTGCGAAAGGCAAAAGCCCTGTCTCCTCCTGCGCGCAACATTTAACGAGATGGCCAAGTCAGACTCTGATGCCATGCACTTTGCTCAATGAACCTCCCCGTTTGGTTCGTCTAATTCTGAGCCAAATCTGGGTGGTTGAACAAGATTTCACTGCGGCACCATGGCCTCAAATCAGCAATGTCCGTCCATGGCATGGAGCACATTGCTCTGCACTTCTAGGATATTATGCGGATCTTCGAAGACATACGCTCGTCAACCAGCACGGGCTCTTAAACCTTACATCCAAACGGAGGCCTCTCAAACACGCAAGACACAACGGCAGCCCTCTTTTCGGGCATATCACAAGTCTTTGATGTTGTCTTTCAAGCCCTGGTCCACTGGTGGGCCTCAGGCTCCCTCTGAGTGTGTCTCAGACTGGGCTCTGAGGCAATGGTTTGGCTGGAATTCCTGGACTGGCTGGCTAGGACAAGGGGTTGCGCCAAAGAAAATCTCTCCCCAATACAGTCCCGACTAGCTTTCATGTCTCTTGTCCAGCAGCGTGCTTTCTCCGCCCAGGAACTTTTGCAGAGCATTTCAGATCCAGGTGTGAATGCCAAAGTCCAAGATACATCGGCGTTCTTCTACAATGCCGGTACGGTGCTTCGCAGAAACAACTTTGGCAACCACCACCTAGCCTAAGCATGCTCTCTGCGACTGATCTTCCTCTCCTCATGAGCGACATGACTCCGTGCCGATGCTTGGAGGGCAACTTAGCACACGCCCATATGAGAATTTCCGTTCCATTGTTGTGGCCTGGCGTATGCCAA